GCAGCATCAGAAGAGCAAGAAAGCTGACGTTTCAGGTCTGGACCCTTGGTCTAGACCTGACACGTCAGCTTTCCTGCTCCTCTGATGCTGCCTGGCCTGCTGTGTTCATCCAGCTCTACACCCTGTTATCTTGTTTATGTGCAGATTTGCTACCCCTGGATCCGCCTACTTGCAAGGTCACCCCCAGACCTGAATATCCACTCCCCCAACTCTAGTTGCACAGTCCTTTGTTATAGATAGAGGATTTTCATTATAGTGGTATCACATTTTTTCTTATCTGCAGCAAGTCTGTGCCTGTATCCCCTGCTATTATTAAGGATTTAGCGTATTGTAGAAAAGGGAATCTAAGAAACTCCACTTTAAATAAGTAATTTAGCTCCTGAACCACTTTTAACATTCATTGCAAGTAGAGAAGAGAGTCTCAATCAGAAGGCATTAAAATAATCCAGTCTGAAGGTTACTCAGGCACATATGAGGATTTCTGTAGCAGAAGGACTTCTTGCTGTCAGCAATGTAGTTGCTTCTTAACTGTTCTCAAGCGCAATTAGGGATGGCAGCAAATGCTGACCTTGCTGATGATGCCACATCCCATTAAGGAATAAACAATGGAAAAGAATGATAATCAGTGATATTTTAGATTTGGATGTTCATTGCCCTCAACTCAGATTTTATCCCTACGTTGCTCAGGAGGTGCAAATCTCTAACTTAGGATATCTATTCATTTATGTTTTGAACAGATTGTAGAATTCAATATACTAGCAGATGATCTATGTAATAGGTAATTCTCTGACCATCTTTGTTGTATCGTTGGAGCTGTGACTTGACATCCTAATGCATTGCAATACCTTCAAATTTTAAATTTAACCTAAACTCTGTCACATTGTTACAGCCACAAATGTCTTCAAATCCTTAATTGTTGCACCTCTGTTCTAGTCCCTTCATTCTTTCCAGTTTGAAAGTACAGGTGCAGGTATGGAAATGTAAAAGTTCCAAAGAAACTGCAAAATCCAAGGAAATACTATGTTGGAGGAGGAGGAGTGGGAATAATTAATAAATTTTTGTATTCAAGTATGATTTTGGTAATTTTTCCATATTTTTACTGTCTTCAAAAGGAAATCACAAATATAAGGAACCACAAAACTTTGTTTTAGATTGCATTATATTTAGTTAAAATCAGCAACGGGAGAAATCCAGGATAGTCGAATCCCAAAATAGTGTCTCGCTTCTTAAATACTAATTGAGCTAATGGCCCAAAAAATATGAGAAACTATTTGTAGTCATTTCTCTTCTAATTGTAACATTTTACTTTGGTAAGACAAGCTGCAGTTTTAATACTGACCTGATTTAAGAAGTGTTTTATCTAATGCTCTGATGTGGCTTAATTCTGATTTTTTTTTTATTTCCTGTAGGTCATTTTCTTAACTACACTGTTCTATCTCCTAAGTTCCAATGATGAATACTACAAGCCTGTGAAATGGGTTATCAGTCTGACACCCCTTTCCCAGCCAGGACCTTCCTCCAATATTGTGGGTCAGTCAGTTGAAGAAGCTATACGGTAGGCTCACACCAATCAGCAATTGTGTTATTAAACCTAGATCAGGCAGACTTTAATTTCTCTACCCTCTCAAAAAAAAACTCTTAACAATTTGGTTCATCAGTCATTACTTAGATATGTTTTCTTCTGACTTTGGACTATTTAAATATTGATTAAAACATCTTTATTTTCAAACCATCCACAAAACTACAAATTGGCATTTGATGACATTATAATAGATATGCTTTTATGCATGTTTACTGTGCTGAAATGTATTTAGTAATAGAACTAATTTCTAGAATTAGAAACGCTGCATGAGCATGAAGTTCCATTTGACCATCCTTCTTTCTTAAGTAGCATGCAGTTTTGTATCCCAGTCACTGAGTAGATCATACTTGTCATTCTTCACTTCCCATTCTGCTTGCTCTGGTGGAGGCATTGCACACTACCAAGTTGCATGTTGTGAGAGCCCCAGTGCAGCTTGATGTGTGTGATACTTTCATGTGAGTGCATGTGCACTGGTATGACTGCATCTTGTGGAGATGGGTAAAGTGCTGTTGTTCATTTAAGGGATTTGAAATCTGTAGAACTGTTAAAAAGTATATGATCTCAGTTATTGTTTGAATTTGAAGCAATTACTCATTCTCACCAAATTTGAGCAATGTATTCTTGCCTTGTCAAAACGCATAATTTCCTTATCAAAAATGGTTGTATTCAAGAAGGACCACACATTCCATGAGAATTGATTAAATTAACTCTTTCAAATGCATATTCAGAGCTACTAGTTCAAGAAATGTGCACATTTGATGTAGGCAGGCAGAAGTTAAAAGAAGTTTATAGCTCTATCAAACCATTATTAGAATTTTTTTTTCACTGGCAGGTCATTTGTTGGCAGCATTCTTTAACACATGTATTTTTGACATTATTTCCTATTTTAACAATTTAACAAATTAATTCACTGTTTTTGAACTTGATCACGCAAATCATACCTTAATTTGGTGGTACATTTGACCAGATATTATTTGCAAGGGTGGTGCAGGAAAACATGATGTGGGGTTAATTGTTACAATATGGAGATCCGTCATTCAGCAGAACTACTGGTTTGCTTGAAAGGCTCATGCTTCTCTTGGCTTGCATGGACTGTTCTTAGAAAACACTTACTTGCTGAAGCCAGCTACTCCCTTCTGCATGTGGTTGTTGAGTTTCCCAAATCCTCAAACCTGGCTGATGCTGATAGTTTCAAATCAGACTTCCATTCACACTTTGGGACCTTGATTTACATATTTGAATAAGCGTCTAATGCGAAAGAAAAATATTGCCTAGTGGGAAACTGACTGGAAATCTGAGATGCAGAGGTTTTGAGACGTTCCAATGATCAAGACTCAAAATATTGATATACGGCACATAGGGGAAGGCGATGGCCTAGGGTTATTATTGCTAGATGATTAATCCAGAGACCCAGATAATGTTCTGGAGACCCAGGTTCGAATCCCACAATGGCAGATGGTGGAATTTGAGTTTAATATAAAAAATCTGGAATTAAGTATCTACTGATAACCACGAAACCATTGTTGATTGTCGGAAAAGCCCATCTGAGAGTCAGCCACATTGCTGTGGGTCTGGAGTCACATGTAGGCCAGACCAGGTAAGGATGGCATTTTCCTTCCCTAAAGGACATCCATGAACCAGATAGGTTTTTCAGACAATCAACAATGAATTCATAATCATCATTAGATTCTTAATTCCAGATATTTTATTGAATTCAAATTCCACCATCTGCTGTGGTCGGATTCGAACCTGAATCCCCAGCATGTTATCTGAATCTCTGGATTAACAGTCCAACGATAACACCACTAGGCCTCCCCCTCCCCCTCGCCCCCGCATGCCCCCCCGCCCACGCCACAGATGGCAAGGGCACAAAATGTACCCTGGGTGGCAGATCTCAATATCCACCACCAAGAGTGGCTCGGCAGCAGTACTACTGATTGAGCTGGTCATATCCCAAAAGACACAGTTGCTAGACTGAATCTGCAGCAGGTGGTGAGGGAACCAACAAGAGGGAAAAACATACTTGACTTCATCCTTACCAATCTGCCAGTTGCAGATGCTTCTGTCCATGACAATATTGGTAAGAGCGACCATCGCACAGCCCTGTGGAGATGAAGTCCCGCCTCCACATTGAGAATGACCTCCATTGTGTTGTGTGTCACTATCACTGTGTTGGATGGGACAGACTTCAAACAGATCTAGCAACTTAAGACTGGGCATTCATGAGGCGCTGTGGGCCATCGACAGCAGCAGAATTGTACTCCAGCACAATTTGTGTAACCTCATGGCCTAGCATATCCCCACTCAACCATTACCATCAAGTCAGCGGATCAACGCTGGTTCAATGAAAAGTGCAGGAGTGCATGCCAGGAGCAGCACCAGGCATACCTGAAGATGAAGTTCATCCTGGTGAAGCCACCAAACAGGTCTGTTTGCATGCCAAATAACATAAGCTGGAACTGATAGAGTTAAGTGGTCCCACAACCAACACATCAGATCTAAGCACTGCAGTCCTGCCGTATCCAGTTGTGATTGGTGGTGGACGATTAAACAACTCACTGGAGGAGGAGACTCCATAAATACCCCCATCCTCAATGATGGAAGAGCCCAGAACATCAGTGCAAAAGACAAGGCTGAAGCTTTTGCAGCAGTCTTCGGCCATAAGTGCCAAATGAATGATCCGTCTCAGTGTCCTGCAGTAGTCCCCAGCATTACAGATACCAGTCTTCAGCCAATTCAATTCACTCCACATAATATCAAGAAACGGTCAGAGACACTGGATACTTCAAAGGCTACGGGCCCTGACAACATTCCAGCAATAGTACTGAAGACCTGTGCTCCAGAACTTGCCTCTTCCCTAGCTAAGTTGTTCCAGTATACTTACAACACCAGCATCTATCTGACAATGTGGAAAATTGCCCAAGTACGTCCGGTACATAAAAAGCAGGACAAACAACCCAGCCAATTACCATTCCATCAGTCTACTGTCGATCATCGGTAATGTGATGGAAGGTGTCATCAACAGTGCTATCAAATAGCACCTGCTCAACAATAACCTGCTCAGTAATGCCAGATTGGGTTCCGCCAGGGCCACTGAGCTCCTGATCTCGTTACAGCCTTGGTTCAAACATGGACAAAAGAACTGAATTCCAGAGGTGAGGTGAGAGTGACAGCCCTTGACATCAAAGCTGCCTTTGACCAAATGTGGCATCCATGAGACCTTGCAAAACTGGAATCAATGGGTATCAGGGGGACCACTCTCCAGGGGTTAGAGTCCTACCTGACACGTAGGAAAATGGTCATGGTTGTTGGAGGTAAGTCATCTCAGCTTCAGGACATCTCTGCAGGAGTTCCTCAGTGTTCTCAGCCCAACCATCTTCAGCTGCTTAATCAATGACCTTCCCTCCATCATAAGGTCAGAAGTGGGGATGTTCACTATTGATTGCACAGTGTTAAGCACCACTCGGACTGCTTCAGTATCTGAGGAGTCACATGTCCAAATGCAACGAGATCTGGACAATATCCAGATTTGGGCTGACAAGTGGCAAGTAACATTTGTGCCACACAAATGCCAGGTTATGACCATGACCAACGGGAGACAATCTAAACACCAGCCCTTGACATTCAGTGGTGTTACCATCACTGAATCCCTGACTATCAACATCCTGGGAGTTATCATTGATCAAAAACTCAACTGGAATCACCACATAAACACAGTAGCTACAAGAGCAGGTCAGAGGCTAGGAATACTGTGGCAAGTAGCTCATCTCCTGACTCCTTAAAGCCTGTCCACCAACTACAAGGCACAAGTCAGGAGTGTGATGGAATACTCCCCACTTGCCTGGATGAGTGCAGCCCCACTAATACTCAAGAAGCTTGACACCATCCAGGACAAAGCAGCCCGTTTGATTGGCACTGCATCCATTCCCTCCGCCACCGATGCTCAGTAGCAGCAGTGTGCACTATCTACAAGACATGCTGCAGAAGTTTACCAAAGATCCTCAGACAGCACCTTCCAAACCCATGACCATTCCTATCTAGAAAGACAAGGGCAGCAGATATATGGGAACAGCACCACCTTCAAGATCCCCTTCAAACTACTCGCCATCCTAACTTGGAAATATTTTGCCGTTTCTTCACTATCGCTGGGTCAGAATCCTGGAATTTCCTCCCTAATGGCATTGTGGGTCAACCCACAGCAGGAGGACTGTAGCGTTTCAAGAAGGCAGCTCACCACCACCTTCTCAAGGGCAACTAGGGATGGGTAATAAATGCTGGCCAGCCAGCGATGCTTACATGAATAAATTTTAAAAATGAATAAATAAATAAAAGACCAGGAGAGCTAATAGGATTCTGTTCTTTGAGGAGGCAAATTCAACCATACAGTAAGGCTATACAGGGTGTAGGTGAGACAGAGTCTTTCTTTGGGCTTGAGCAATGTGGGCTGTGGCGAGATGTTTAGAAGAATTGGGCAATAAGTTTGGCAAGGCCTATCTTGATGTTGAAGTCTGCTCCCTTCAATTTCCTTGCTTTTCACAAGATTCTGGTTAGGCAGCAATGAGTTGCTAGTACACAGGGATTATTGTCTGTTAAACATCTTATTATAAGCCCAACTCAGCTTGTAAATATTCAGCCTTCCATCTTGCCAAACTTGCCAAGCAAGCTTGATATCGGGAAAACTTGACAAGAAGATTAGAGTAGCTACACGGCAGATTCAACTCGCTTTTTGCTGTGAACAACCTCCATGTTGGAAACTGGGCTCCAGCATCTAACATCCATGTTGACATTTTCTGTCCTATTGTGGGGCTGTTTCACTCATGGAATGAGGGGGAGACCTGCATTATGGCAGATGGAAGTGGGCGGTACCACTACTACCATTGGTGCAGATGGGAGTTGGCAGTACAGAGTGCATGCAGATTAGTACTTTTGAGGTTTGGGATGCCTGAAGGTGTGTGGGAAAGATATTACAGGCA